TTCCTACTTTCTTCACCCATGTTTGTATCACATGCCAAACTGAAATAAATGTTATCTAAATAATTGAGATAAGCACTGAAGGGTTGTATGGTCATATCAACACACCTCTCAAGAATAGAACTGCAATATAATCTCTCTAGATCAAACAGTCTACAATGGTAATCATGTTTGCATTTAAACATTTTATTCTGAAAGGATTACAGTTCAGAGCCCATTTTCCCTCCCTATCCCCAGACAAGAAGGCGGCATACTGACTCAAACAAAATGTATTTTTTCTCCAAGAATTTAGCTTGTACAAATTTTATAAACAAACTGTATAGGTGTATGAAGTTTTGGCTGATTTAATCAGTAACTTATGCCTTTGAATTTATATAAGCTTGTTTACTCAAAATTGCCTGCATTGGAAATGTTTATACTAAAAATACCTCTGATTTTATAGCATTTTATTTAAAACCTGTATCAGTGTAACCTGATTGCTGTGGAATAGAACGTCATGGGCACAAGGTACCTACAAAATTGCTTCTCTCTTCCTCATACATATGCGTATCCACATTCATGTGTTTACCCTGATTATTTACCATAGAGAATTCTCTCTTGAGACTCTCCCCAAACCAGGATTCCATAGTTCTGAGCATCTCAGTTAAAAGGGTGTCAAACTGCATTTATTCTACAGTGTAGATGTACCCTTGGATGAAGGACACATCTACACTGAAGCCTAGGGAGCATAGCAAACCCATTTGATGGCATCTTGGGATAGTGACAATTACGCCCTAAACAAACAAACAAATAAATAAATAAATAAATGCTGCACATGAGAAGAGTGGGACATTCATGGTATTTATGACCTGATTGCCCCTCTATATATTTTCAGCTGTAAACGTGACCACAATCTCACCCTAAATTCAATGTGAACGTCTCTGGTCATTTTGGGCCCAGGTTGGAATTTTCTTCCCATGTTGTGTTTGAGGAATTTGGACATTTGGCTAGGATCAGAGAAGGGCCATAGCCTTTAAGGAAATCTTGAAATTTCACTCTCACTGAGAGGCCATGCGACTTTGGTGAGAGAGCCTGAGGTTCATCTTGCATTAGTGAAGAGAACAAACCAAATATTTGGACTGCTCTCAGGACTCAGGGGCTGTGCCCAAGGGATGGCTGCACAAGTAGTCTGAAGGTGGCTATCTGATCCCAATTGGACCCACAACATTTATTTGATCATATTATTAATCATTCACTAATACATAGCAAAAAGTCTTTTCAGAAGAAAAAAAGAAAGCTGCCATAACTCCCTGGAAATAAATTCACAAAATATTTCAATGAGTCCTATAATATTTTCCCCCTTTCCTGCTCAAGGGATGTTCCTTGTAAATACAATAAATGAGATTTTTAAAATTTTCATTTCTTGTATTCAGCATGTTGCCAGTGAGTTGTTAGCTAAGTCTGTCCTCCCAGGTGGATATGTTTTAATCTGTTTTAGTCTGCTTATATGTTTTTTTCCCCAAGACTGTCTGTTTTATATGGGGACCAGTGTTAAGACACAGGATGCAGTTGATTTATGTGTTACTGTTGAAATATTGAACTAGATAACAATTTTGAGCAGTATTATCTTCATTTCTTTGAGCCTTTGTAAAATTGATAAATCAGAGCATGAAATATTATTTCTGAAAGAGTGAGGCAATGTGATGGTTTGATTGTTGGGCTACAACTCTGGGAACCAGGTCTCAAATCTCCACTCATCCATGGAAATCAACTGGCTGACCTTGGGCAAGTCACTCTCTCTCAGTCTGAGAGGAAAGCAAGGGCAAGAGATAAAGGGTGCCTGATAGAGGTCATAAGACAGAAATTACTGGAAGGGACACAACAGCTTTGCTATCCACACCATCTATTGCTCCTTACAAATAGTATGTATCTCATATAGTTCATCCTTGCAGTTTTAAGTTGACCTACGTAAGTGGATATGTAGTAGTAGTGAGAGTCTTTTTCCTATGGATCACCTCTAGACCAGGGATGGGCAGCTGTGAATTATCCAGATACTTCAATTACTTCAGTTTCCACTGTCTTCATGTGCATTCATCTCTTAATTTTAAAAGCAGAAGTGGGCAGATGATCATTTTTGGAGGGAGGTATAATTTCCAAGGGAGTGTTCCAGGAGATCTCAAAAATGTGGGACTACAAAATAACATCAGAATACATAACTGGTTGGTTCTGGGTTCATAATTGTCCATTATGAATGCTTGAAAAAGTATCAGCCATTAAACATGCCCTGAAAACCCTTGGACATTGTGTTAGTCTGTTCACTTCATGCTACTGCCCCAGATCCTTCAACATGACTGGATCTCCAGACTGGAATTTGTAAGGTTGGACTCTTATTATGGTCTTGAACAGGAATATCTTGTATGACTGGGAAGCTACTTTTAGTGAAGGCAATAGGGATGGAGAGCCAGAGAAAGAACTAGGCAGAGAAACAACCACCTTTATATAGTTCTGCTTTATATAAAAGTTAAGGTCATGCTTTTGATGCTGAGATTTTTTTTAAAGGCTTTCCTGACTGTCGTGATATGAAGAAATATAAGCAAGTAAATTAAGTAAAGGAAATAAATATCTTTTCACCAGATAAAATTTTACCCAGGTTTTGTAGGGTTGGGTAGATTATGGGGAAAGGGGGGGGGGGGGAATTGTTTTTAAAAAGTAAATGAAAGAAAACCAGGATCAGCTTGATTGTCTTAGGAAACCAGTACATTACTAAAAAAAACGACTGTTCTTTTCATCTAGTGTTCTTTCCTTCAGTCTGTGCTGGACCCTGCTTGGTGCAATCAGAATTGCTGTTCCTTTATTTATGTGTTCTTTTATTATACTGTAACTACAATTATGTTTGAGACCTGTAGGGGGGAAATGTGATGAGTCCCAGACATAGTATTTATCACTGAATGCTTTACAGCAATGAAAAACAAATGAGCATGAATTATATTGTCTCTAATCTTGAGGCATATACACAGAATCATTTAGCAACAGTGAAAGGGTACTGGTTTTTAGAAGATCAAGTAATCTGATTTCAGGATTCTGTCAGAGATCACAAGTGGGAGTGCTGGTTAGGTTTTGCATTGGGGCATGTTTTCCCTTGGAGGTATTCTAACAAATAGAAAGCATAAGGCAAAATATATTGAAGAAAAAGAGAAAACAAAGTTGCAGTGGAACTTCATTACTACTTCCTCATTTCAAAGGAAGATTAAGGTGGTTCACAAAAAAGTAGTAAAGGCAATTCTTTTAAGAGAAACAATAGGATTAATCAAATGGGATTGAAACATCCAAAATGAATAGAACTTATTGCCTAAAATGCATTATGTACTGCCAGCAAATGAATGACAGCAGCAGAGTCTTTGTCCTCTAGGAAGGCACATTGTGAGCATTTCAAAAGCAACTGATGACAAGCATTCCTCCTACCAGTTTTATGGAGCAAAGCTTAGTATATGAATGTATACCCCTCAGGCTATAAAACTGTTCCTTATAAGAAAGTGTGAGATCATTCTTTTTCCATAGATCACATGAGCCTGTAACTATCATTACTTCCACATTAGCTGGATTCAGCCTTAATTTCATACTCTCCATAACACCGGCTTGCATTAATTCAAAATTAAAAGTCTGATTTCACATCTAAGATAAGAAATGAAAAACATTTGGTAATATGAGAAACATCATAATCTAGACCTTTCCACAGGTTCACAAAGATGTTGAATAGTACCACGACAAAACAGGATCCTTGTGGTCACTACAGATACATCCCACAAAGGCTGTGTCTGTCATTTGAAATGATTTTGAGGTGGGAGTAAAACAGTCCTTCCACAAATGCCTCCTGCAGAAGAAAATATTTTTGGATTGGGTTTTTGGAGTTTGAGGATTTAGTGTTACAAATATGCTGATGAAACCAGGGTCTATTTGTGTTTGCCATCTAATCCCAAGGAATCTGATTCAGATCTGTTAGAATTTGTCAACATTTATGGTCAGGGCAAATACATGAAAGATTAATCTTGAGAAGATATATATTTTCAGTAAATCAAATGTCACTTTAAGGAATGTGGATTCATTCTATGCTTGAGGAGATTAAACTACCCCTGAGCATTGCCAATTTTTAATTTAGATGTATTCTTGGTTTACTACTTTACTGGGATTCACAACTTTGTGTAAAGGCCTGGAGCCTTTATTAACAACAAAGTTTGCTTTGTATTTTGGGAGAAGGGAGCATAGTGGTAAGCTTTAAAAACAATTCTACATCACAATCCATTCTGTAGTATGCATAGACACTCTGTCAGACAGACAGAGAGATTTTTCATATTTTTCCTATTGAATTATCCAAAATGTGTTAACCATAATAATCTTTTATTTCCTTTTGAAATCAGTTCAGTTGAGATTACTCTTCATGAAGTAACTAACTATATGGGTTTTTCATATAAAAAGGATAATAATTGATATATGTGGTATAGTATAGATGTTGATTGAGAATAAGAAAGGCATTTTTACATACAAGAATTAAAATTTAAATTTCAGTGCACAAAAATGCAGTCCTTATAAGGCATATTGAAGAGCACTGTTGATCTATTGATCAATCCATTAAAGAGCGAAGCTAAAGTAGTGACAAGTTCCCTTTTTGTCTCTCTATGTGTATATGCAACAGATTGTTTGCAACAAACTTGTAATTTTCTATAATGCCATGGAACTTGGATATAAAGCTTATCTCTGATCTTTGACTTTTGCCAAACTCATGGGATTTTATGTGAGATTTCTAGGAGAAAGTAGATATGAGTTTTCTGATGAACATTTGACAACTGGCTCCACCAGTATCCCTGTCTGTTAGTTGATGCAGCATTTCCCAAGGCATTAATAAACTTTTAAGCCATAAACTTCAAGACCAGCTGGCCATAAAAACAATTGTACTTAGTTTTTCCTTTGCCAGTGGATTATCATTGTGACATATAATCCTTTTTCATTTGTGTCTGTCTTTTCCACAGCTGTTGTGAACTTGGACAACTCTGTGGTTGACCTAGAGACTCTTCAAGCCCTTTATGAAAATGTGAGTAACAAGGCAAAAATGCACATTTACTAATTGTTTTGAATTAAAGTTGAATAAAAGTTTTGAATATTTTGATGAAAACTATTAGTTGCCTTGAATGTATTGCCATAGCAGGACATTTTTAAAGTACAGACCAAGTAGAAAACATTAGGTAGGAATTTAAAGACTGTTACCGATGAATTGATGTTAACCATCAGTACACTAACTAAGCAGATCTTGCCCTGTCTGAAAAAGGACAAAACACAGTGCACAAACAACTATGTTAACTGTCCTGAGTTGAATGGGCAACCTAGACATCCCTGAACAGACTCAGAAGTGGAGTTGGCAGATCAAAAGACAACCTGGCAAAATGGTACTACCTACAAAAATCCTCCACCTTGTGTGACTGTGGAGCAGAACAAACAACTCTGCATCTGTATGCTTGCTCACAATGCCCTGCCTCATGCACAGAGGAAGAATTGTTTAAAGCTAAAGACAATGTGGTTGCTGTTGCCCATTTGTAATCTAAAATTATTTAGCTGCTTTTGCTCCATTTATTTTATCAGTTTTATACACTTGATCTTAGCCAAAAGGCCGAGAAGCGAGTTTTATACTTATTTATTTATGCAGTGCTTTTGACATAGAATAAATAAATAATTGTCTTGATAGACTTGCACCAACAGAACAAAGGCAAGGAGTGGAAACTTCTGGAAAATCTCCATAACCCAGATGAATCTTGAGATATCCTCCCAAAGTCAATTGGTTTATATCCTAAAACATGCTGTCTAGCATTACAGCAAAGTACCTTATTCTCAGACATTACTAAAATCAAACTTGTACTGAATCTGTTTGGTGCATACTTTACCAAAGGGAAAAAAATCATTATGTATTAGCTACTTTGTATTCTGATTGAATTTACTGTGTAATATTTCACATTGACTGAAAACTAATAGACCAACACACACGTTCACTGTAAAGTTGGGTATAAAAATCAGAGTTGATGGCTTATAAACAATATCAGTGAATTGTTGGAATACTTTTCCACCTCCTCTTCCTTTGTCATTGGAAGCCTTCGAAGAAACCATGATATTAAACCATGGTTTAAAGTTGATTTATTATCTTGGCTTGATTTGAAACAACTAATGTTTTGATTAGAAAAACATGGTTGGATGATTAATTAGACATTTTCTGTTTCAAACATAATTCATAAAAAAGCAAATATCATTCATTCAAAAGACTATGCTTTTAAGGGGAAAAGCTTGTTAGTAATGGAGCTTAGTAAGTTGAGAACTGGTGATATTACTGTTTAGGTTTTGCCTCTCAGAATAATTTGTATAGATACAACAATGCATAGTTTCATTGTACCTGAAGTGCTGATGATTATATGTTAGTTTTGTTTCCATTTCATAGCTCATGTTTTAAAATTTACAAATGTAAACTGGGAGAATAACACATGATAGTGATGAGAATGGCTTGTGATGTTGAAACTGCTCATGTTCCACTATAACTCTTGCTGAATCTCTTTTTCAGTGAGTGCGTGAGTGACTGGGAAGTGAGAGATATCTTTAATGTCTTGCTTCTCTTTGTGAACAACAGAAGCTTAGATAGGATTTTCCTCTTGTGATACATCTTGGTCACTGCAGGATGCAAGCAAAGTCTATTTTAATCCCTTCCTCACCACTGCAAAGAGAGTCCATATAAAGAAATGCTGTCATTGTGGACACTTTATCTGTCTTCTTTACAAAATTGTAGCTAAACAAATCACTTATAAAATTTTAAAATAATTGCTGTAAGAGTAGTCTTTATAATTCAGGGATGTTAATCCAGTTGAAATCATTTTGAGTGATTTTGCATCTTTCCTTTCAAACACCACTATAGTTCCTTTCTGACAAATTCAGTGGAACACAGTTCCTTCTTTCTCCCACCAGCTTTCATCAAGCTGTCTGCACACTGTGTACATGAAAGGAGGTGTTGCAGAAGAAAGAGGGAGTGTGGGCAGGTGAGATCTCACTCCAAGGAAACATGGATAGCAATACCATCACTACACTTTATTGAATTATCAGTAATCTTTAATAGAAATGTCAACACATTTTTTAAAAATCCAAAGTAGATGTTGGTAAGGAACCAGGAGGACATTGTTAGGACTGCAAGACATAAAAACATCTAGAAACAAGAGCAAGGGGGAGAAGAGACTGGGCACACATCTCGGCATAAGAAAGACAACCACAAATCAATTGAACTGGGTCACTTTTATAAGCCTTCTGAGTTGATTGGAAGCGTAACAAATTTTAAGTTAATTTTCTTGACAAACAAAATACTTGGAAAACATTATTAGCAAAATATTGTTTGGATCTTGGAGGAGTAACTATTGATATAGAAACCCATTTCTGGAATGACACATTTGGTTTGTCTAAATAGACATTTGTTTCATCCCCATGTTTTGAAGTACAGTCTAATTGAAAGAAACCAATACATTTTAATTTGATTTGATTTGATTTGTCTTTGACAACTCTTACTTTGCTTTGGGCATCAACCAAACTTTTATGAATGAATCCAGTTAGGTAAGAATAACAAATCTCAGCTGGAACCCTACATAACTATAGCTGATGACATTTTTGAAAATTAAACTTAATGTAGAATTGATCTATAGTTCCCAGCCAGCATCACTACTATGCTTTATGCTTTGTAAATTGTGACTCAAATACTAACCTTTTGAGCTTAGGTTTCACATGAAAAATGTTTAAAAATTGGAATGGAAACATCCTTTTTCATCTTTTTGCAGTTAACTACCAAGTACACCTCTTGTTGTTTCTAAGACAAGATAAATTATTTCATTTTTAAGGTATGGCCTGAAGAAGAATCACAATATTTGTGTGCTTTAGACTTCAACATGCCTTGTCAAGTGACATGGCTATTTCCTATTGCTTTTCACACATTGCATTAATTGTCAGATCTGAAAATGCTTTAGTGCACAGTTGAAACGTTGTGGTGCTAGTTCTCAGACATTTCATTTGATCTCAGAAACATATGGGAGCATTTGTTTTATGATCTTTCTTCAAAATGTAATCACTTTTTGCTGATTACATATGTTTGGCATGGTGCTTTTCCTTCAAGATGGGAAAGACATTTGGGCAACCTCCAAGTCTAAACACACCCTAATTTCAAAAGCTAGAATCCTGAGGGCTCAATTCCTGTTTACTGAAGAATTAAAGTCTTGTTAAACTGTGTAGTTACTAAATACATCTTAGTCATTTCTTTGTTTTGTTTTCCATTTTAAAAAGCCCATGCAGTTTATTTAAGCTTATTGACCTGTATTACTTTAGAATAATGAAAAAATGCTATTGCATTACAAGACCATCAATATTTCTCTCCTGCATCCTCTTGTTCATGTGGGATTTCTGTATTATGACTGGACATATAATTACAGTAAAAATTATTTAAAGAGGCTACAATGACAATTTCTTTACTAACACTCTTTGTAGTACATATTCAAAAAGCTATTAGTATAATTCCATACAAATAATAAACATGAAATTCCTAATTGAATTTCATGTTAATTATTTGTATGGAATTATACCAATAGCAGACTAAATAACTTTAATTATGAACTACTGAAGAGAGTGGGATTTTATAAGTGTGAATTTTATAAGAATAAAGTTTTGAGAATGGGTTAAAGAGAAGGAGGGAGGGAATGAACAAGTTGGGAAAAGATAATGTTGCTAGCTCAGTGGGAAATGAAAAGTGTATGAAAGGTGGAGAAAGATCAGGATGACATGGAGAGGGAGAAGTGCAGGAAGGGGGAAGTGCAAGAGAATTGTTTTGGAGAACAGGATTGTTTTGGAACAGAGAGAACCAAGAAGCTCTGGAGAAGGACAGGAGATGAAATGAGCTAGGAGGGAGGAGTGCAGAGAGGAAAGAGGGAGACGTTTGATTGCATGTGTGTGCATGTTTACTTTACTTTGGTCAACTATAAAACCCATTATGCAGAACAGTCAAGTGTGGCACTTGAATAGTGTATTTTGCAAATTGAACTATTGTATTTTAAATCTCCTTAGCTCTAATGTCTGATTAGAATATAGATATATATCCTCGAGTATAAGCCTACCCAAATTTAAGCCGAAGCACCTAATTTTACCACAAAAAAAAAACCAGGAAAATATATTGACTCAAGTTTAAGCTGAGGATGGGAAATGCAGCAGGTACTAGTAAATTTCAAAATAAAAATAGATACCAAATATTACATTAATTGAGGCATTAGTGGGTGAAATGTTTTTGAATATTTACATCAGACAATTTGATGTAAATATATAATTTAAGATAAAACTGTCCAACTCCAATTAAACCATTATTCTAACCTTCTTCAATGTAAATGTGCTTACTAGGCATGGTTAGGTACCGTCGGAACCTTTGTAATTCGGAATAAATTAAAAAAAAATACCTTTTTGAAGCTATTTTGAACTTTTTTAGGAAACCGGAAGTCCCTTTGCCATTTTTCTTCCGACTCAGGAAGTGAGTCAGAAACAATTCAGTTTTTTCCCCTGCTTCTGGTCCCTGGCTAGGCTCAAGCCAGAGAAGCCAGTTTTAAAGCCAGAGAAGCCAGCTATAAACCAGAGAAGGATTAATTTTCTCCGTTTGCTTTTCCCACTTCTGGCTCAAGCCAGAAAAAGGAAGGAATTTCCTCACCTTACTTTTCCCCACTCCTGGAGTAAAACAACTACTTTCAAAGTAAAGAACACCCAATGAAATAGGAAGTAACACTTTCAAGCCATTAACAAAAGGATTTGAAAGTCTCAGGAAGTTTTTAAAAAATTGTGAACATTTTTTCCTGTGAAAATCGGAATTGACTTTAGAATTGAACCACCAGTGCCCCCTATATCCGAACCGAGTTTTGAACCATTTTTTTAATCCAACAAGCCTAGTGCTTATGTATCCTTCCAATAATAATAAAGATCATAAATGTAATAATAATAATATAAATAGAGTAAAATAATAAATTTAATAAAATAATAATAATAACAGAG